AAAAAAGGAAAGAAAGAAAAGAAGAAAAAAGAGTTGCAGTACATTACAATACAAACAGCAGACATAACTCTGTCTTGCTATAGAAGGGAAATTTTCCATGAAAATCACTGCATTTTCTTCATCCCCTAGATGCTGGTTGCYTAGTGACTAAATATTCCTATCCAAACATATGTATGCCACTGTGTCTGTGTATACTTATCCCCATAATTTTTACCCTTTTTATCTCATACTCCTTAAATTTCTAACTGCTATTAATATAATTGTCCTTTGTTTTTAAAACTTTTATACTAATATAATGCTCACATACGTCCATGCACAAGCTCTTTCTTTMTTTCTGATGGAAGCATTTGAAACTTTCCAGTCATTGCTGGAATTGGAGAGCATGATATTGGCAAAAAAAACCTGATTGAAAATCMGTCACTGAGGCTTAGCCTAAGTAACTGGTAACAGCAGCTCAACACTGCTGCTCTGGCAGTTTAGCAGTCRCAAGTCATTTATGTACAGCTATGGTAGTCCTTCTAAAATCTTGTTTGAGCAGACCACAGAAAACACAGTCATGTTTTCTGTGCTTCTGGATGGTGGTGTAGTATGGCTTCTCTATCACTATYTCAGCAATAGCTCTGTCTGTATCTAAATGACATAAGGCATAGTTGGCCTAGGAAAGAAATTCCTGCATTGTACTTGAGAACAGTATGACTTACCTGGTCTTTTGCACTGGATAGTCTTCACATCAGGAGACCACTTGAGGCTGGGCTCACACAAAATGGAGCGTGCCCCTTGCAAGTGCATGCCGTGTGGACAAGACAGAGTTACTCTCTCACCAATGTTGTACACAGGTTTCCATGGCTCTCCTTGCAAACCCCCCTCCAGRTCAGGCAGGAGACAAGCAGTTTCTATGGATTGAGTCATATGAGACAGCCACAGTTAATCAGTGGATTCCATAAAGCAGGCATGTATTTTTTCTTCTCCAAAATTCTTTAACAAATTGAATGGTGACATTAGCTGACTTTTCTGGAGAAACTTATCAGTCAGATATTAACTCATCACACAAGTCAAACATACAAAACTAAGGAACCAATAACAGTATTTTCTTCCACTGCCTGCAGATGCATCCCTAGCTGTATGAGGTCTCCCCTGTCCTCAGAACCCAAGTTTTGGTTGAGGGTTCCTACTAGGCAGTAATTTCCTGATAGAGAGACATCACACATACAAGATCCTGAGAAACTCTGCCCTGGTGCACACAGAGATGGCCTTTAAGCAGTGTGGAATAACATTTGTGGGCAGKCAGTCCCCCTTGGAAAGAGGAAAGGATGCTGTTGAACCACAGCGCTGAAAATTCTCATGGCTCTTGCATATAGCCCTAGGAYTGAAGGAAGCAACAGCGTTTGTTTCCACACTTAGACTCCCTCAGTTCCCGCCTTCATTAAAACTGGACTTTATGGGTGTGTTTCTAATGCAGTGTTACAACAACAGAAGTCAATTTAGATGTGATTATGTCTAGGGAACTGGGAAATACAGGTGTGCCTTTTCCCCCATTGTAGCTGGAGAACAGATGTTCTGAGATTTTCCACTGGAATTCAGAAATGGAGTTGTATTTCAAAACAGAATCAGTTATACACACCCTGGCAATATCTCTCTCCAACTTGCCACTGTAAATTACTGCCACACTTAGCAACAGGATCACCAACAAGAGAATATCCATATTTGCACGCATAAACAATGCTTTTCCCAACAGGGTATGAGTTTTCAGCATTCTGAAAGAAAATGAACAGGTGAAATTTTGGACATAAAGTATAAGAACTACAAGCAGCTCAGAACTCTGATTCTGGAATGCAGTAGCTGAGGACAGTGAGATGTGTTATTGCTACTCTACAATGCACTGGTGAGAGAATATGGAATATTGGGGGCAATCCTGCTTATCAATAGTCACAAAATGTGATCAAAAAGGGTATGGAATAGTGCTCTCCTGATGGTGTATAAACAAACTGCAAATATGGCTGTTATCAAGCATTAGCAGGGCAAGAGAAGATCTAGCACAGCCTTGGACTGGGGGAAGATCAGTGGAGAGTATACAGCTTTGTCAGTTCTTAGGATGACATGTTAGCAGATTTCTAAAGGTTAACATGATGGACTTGAAGACAGAGGCTTTTTCTCATTCTATATCCCACTGTCTTCTAAGGAGAGATCTTATGGAAAATTCTGTATCACCCCAAGACAAAAACTGGTAATACTCTGTGAATTGCAGTTTTACCCTTAGTTTGTGAACCAAAAATATCAATGTAGGAGACAACTGCTGATTGCAAAAAAATACACAAACGAACAAAAAATCCACAGAAAACAAAATAAAACAAAAAAAAACCCCACAAAAACAACAAAACAAAACAAACAAAAAAAACCCAACAAAACCCACACCCCCCCAAAAAACCAAACCAAACCAAACAAAAACCAAACCCAAATAACCCACTGACAAAAGAGGGGGGGCAAAATTTTGGATCTTGCCTCAGGTTGCAGTTGTGCAGAGGCAACTAATGGATTTTGAGCTAATCTTTTTATCTATTTGTTGAGCAAAGAGATTTATGACAGCCTGATAACATTAAGAAGGCATAATCCATTCCTCCAAGAGGGGAATTTAGTTTCCTTTATTAAACAGGCCTAAGCTTTGGTGAGCCAAGTACCTTGCCAGGTCTTTGTTTCACCAGGGAACAAGAAAGAAGAATGGTGAGTTATAAAATGAAGATTCCTAAAATCTGTTTATCATTTTGTTATGAAATTCCTGGATGACKGAGCAATTTTGTCTCTAATTTGCTGTGATTTTATATGCAATCCATTTGGCTCAGAATTTTTTTAACACATCTGTGTTATTATTTAACACATCTATTTGTTTAACACATCTAATCCTTTGGCAAGAACAAATAGATGACTTTTTTCTGTATGTACCATGGTCCAGAAAAGCAAAGATTTTGTCCTGRTTTTGGAGACGGGGCTTTTTTGGTGTTTTCTAGTTTTTAGTAAGAGGTTTTGGATACTGTCATGTAAACTTCAGACAGTGAAAAATKCTGCAAGAGCTCCTGTATAGTAGGTCGGATACTAGGCTTGCCAACAGAAAGACCAATTTGCAAGTGAACTACATTAACTGTAGAAAAGACATTGCAGGTAGGGATAGAACAGATAATAGAACAATAGAAATAACTTACTTGAACAAATCCATTTTCTAAGAGAGGAGGAGGTGAACAAAATTGTGTAGGATTTACGGATAAATCAAAACAGTGGGGTTCAATTGAGCTATGAAGCAAACAGAAGTACAGTTTAGTTTGAATTTAGTCTTCTTTCCTTTCAAAATGCTACACTTCTCAGTGAAGCCCATTTTCAAGACTATTACGCATACATTTACATCATGATTATACTRAAATCAGGCACTGCCAGGTTACCCAAAAGAGTGGTAAATAGAATGCTGCCAAATTTACTGGCTTTTACCCCATTTTCTAGCCTTATCTTGTATGATACTCACAACTTCTGAATTTAATTTTCTTTCAACGAAAATATTAAAGCTCAATAAGTGATYTCTCTGAATTCAATAGTTTGTGCACCCCTCTGAAACAAATTTTTAAATCTTTCAGCAGTTGGGTTCTGAGTGTTTTTTATTGCTCACCGAAGATACTCCAACTCTTCATCTCCGCATGCTCTGCTTTCATGCTGTTCTCCCAGGCACTCCTTCCCACCACCATTTGGGGAGGGGTTGTTGCAGGTTCGACTCCTTGATTTCCTTCCCCCTGAACAAGGACTCCAGGAAGACCAGCAGCTCCAGCGTCCATCAACAACGCCTATGCAACATTTGGGAATATTTGGTTTAATGTGAAAGCTGCTCTCTTTAAACACTTTCTCTTTAAACCATTCCCTCTGAGTGGTTTAAAGGCACAGGCTGTTCAATGCTTGTGGTGGGCCCAAATTGTGCCATTACAGAAAATTCCAGATGGCAATAATCTGATATTCCATATTTCCCCAACTTTTACATAAATATAATTYCGCAATGGCCATATATATTATCAGTGTCTGAGAGAACATAAAAATAGCTATCAGCTACTACTAATTACAGAACTAAAAAGAAAAAAAAATTAATCATTGATAATTAGTATAGCATATGTACTWACTTATAAATGGTTGCACTGAGGAGTTAGTATTGTTCACAGTATTTAACACAAAAAATAAAACCAGCTCTTTGCTAAGGGCTGTTTAAACAGGCTAAACAAAGACTAGGGCATGGCATGACCCTCCCCATGATGTTTGTTTGCAGTGATATCTCACCCCAGCAGCCACTGCATGGGTGTGCAGTGGAACAGGCAGACTCTGTAAGCAGGAGAACAGATTTTGTCACTTCTAGACTCTCACAGGTTTAAAAAGTGCTTACCTGGCTGATCTTGCACGAGAATTCCCAGCTCACAAGCTGCACCAAAGGTGTAAGGCTTGCAGTAACACACACACTGTGTTCCTGCCACRACCGGCTCACCACCATTCTGGCAAGGCTGACATTTGCAGGGATCATTTTCGGACATATATTCTTCAATGGCTTGTTTTAGGTAATGCTTTTTGACTGAGGAGCAGGGAACTTCCTTTACCAGCTCATAAAGTGGTATTAGCTGCACACAGTAGAGAAACATGCATATTAAATAGTTATGATTGGGATAATAGAATTTATAAGCACGTTTAACCACACAAAATAATTTGTGACATATGCTTCTGCACATGGGAGTTGGCACTTTAATTTGCTAGCTAACTAAAATCTTATGTTAGTATTTAATATTAGCCTTTTTATTAAAAGCAAGCTCTGCTTAAAAGAATTATGTAAAGCTTTTGTTATACCAGTCATGTTTAAACATATTTAAGCTATGAGAATGGAGTTGAGATAATTTATAACAGAGGCCACCAATGTACAGGGATGTGAATTCTCACCCAGCTCTTCCCAGCATAGAAAAAAAGAGGACATTTAAAGAGCCYACTATGGCAGTTCATTGAACATGGATCAAAAGTAACAAAAATTGAAAATATTTTGCCTTTTCATTGCCTATTTTATGATATTATGTGCTTTTACATTTGGCCTGAAAACCTCCTGAGAAATATTTTAGGTTTATCCCCTTCTTGTGTATGTGGGCACTTCCCAACAGACAAGGTAGCAGTAAATAGGGTCATGCCCAGCTCTGAAGTGTCAGACTTGGAGTACCTCCAGTTAAGCAAAACTTCTGGATGCAGAGTGAAGGAGGAGGATAAAAGGGCTGTACAGAAGTTGGCAAGTGAAGTGGAAATCACACAGGAATGCTCATGTGCATTTCAGGAAAGAGGCTATCTCAAATCTGGTCTTTCTCCAATGCTAACGTGACCCTCTATGCCTAAACAGAGCACCACTAAAGTCACCTGCAAAAGACTTAGATTTGTGATGCAGCTTCATGATCATATTAGCTTCACGACATTTTCTTCCTGAGCACTTTTTGTTTTTACAAAGTGATCTGAAAACAAAATGAGTGTAGACCATAGCACGATTAATCATCAGATGTAGTTTAATAATTTCTCTTCTTGAGGTGTTCCCACCTGCTCACCTTTGCTTCAGGAAAATAGCCTTACCTTTTTTTTAATTACTCTGGGATAGTCTGTCACTGATGCAGCCCACGAAGTGTACCTGTGACTGTTCCCAGCAGGATTATCTAGTTCTAGATAACTAAGGCTAGCAACAGCATCTGGGCTTCCTCCTTCTATGTAAGGGTCTCCTTTAATCTTATTACTACTGCTTCCTGTGGATTCAGGATAAGAAATACATAAGATATCAGTATTGCCTTGTTTRCAAATGGAAATAGAAAGAATACATGCAAAAACTATGCTAGCAAGTTGTGAAATGGCTGACTAGTGCAACTAGTGCAACAGACTAGTTCAACCATCTGTGCCTGGATCAAGAGCTCCTGCACTGATCATACATAAAAAGTATCTGTTTTTGCAAGTATCTTGGCAGCTCTAAGTTAGGGTGTCCAGAAAAGTGCTATTTACTGGCAAAGCATTAGCAATAATTGACAAGTGCTGGAAAGCCTTTTAAACCAGTTCAGCATGTTAGGACAGAATTCAACAAAGTTATCCACACCTGCTTCTCATTTTGACAACCATTTAAGATGGSACGAAAGATGGATACATGACAACTGTATGAGTCACCACTGAATATTTACCTGAAGAAGCCCGTAGCAGTTCGTCCAGTTTGGTGCATTCTGTTTTCTTCTTGCTTACAATGATTGCATTCCAGCCTGATGAAGTACATTCATAAAAGTCTTTTGTGCTGACACCTGCAGATAATCCATCCATTAACAGTGCTGTACACAGAAAGTGTCTTGGATTCAYTTCTGAGCTTCCCACTGGCTAGAGGGGTCATGCAGTACTACACTAAAAGTAGAAGCAAACTAACCAGCATTTGTGCCCTGTGGGAAGATCCACACAGTTACTAAAGCTTATAGATGAAGGCTGAGAGATGTGAGATGAATCAGGGAGCAGTGTACTGTATCATTTATTTTCCCAGCAGTCCCTAATTCTACAGCACTACTGCAACTGATTACCATTGTAGATGCCACTCTAGTGTTTGTTGTTTGTAATTTATTCTGCTTTACACAGTTTTACCCAACCTTCATCTCCATGTAACCTTTAGGCTTTAACATTGTTTGAGATTTATATCCAAGTTTAGCCTGAGAAGGTCCTGAATCGACTTTCAGATTTTTGCTACCCAGAACACTGCAGGTCACAAACATGGATCTACAACAAAATGCTGTGGTTTGAGTGCATTTTTCAGTCCTTCTTCTTTCCCATGAATAGAATGTGGTAACTTAGAAGTCTCTGACTTGATTTTAGACACTAGCTGGAAAAACACACATATAAATTTTTATTCTTGATTATTGACTTTGTTTTCTGCAACAAATACTCTAGTACTCTACCTTTTGCTTTCATTTTTTCAGTATCCATATAAAAAATAACTTTGTAATGTCCTCCTAGAGATCCAGAGTGAAAGAAATGAGTCCCAAAACGTTCAATAAGTCTTCGGTAGACGCTGTACTCGTAGACGATTGGAAGGTCAAACAGTTCCTTCCAGAAAGGCTCCGCRAGAGGGAGAAAGTCTGGGCGGTTGTTAATAAACTGAGCAACTTCCACACTGTTCTCAATAACCATCAGATGCCTACTCTGGGGAAAGGAAAAGCCATCAGTCATGCTCTATGTCACCATCAGAGTGGCTCCTAACAGCCAGATGGGACACACATTCTACTGGCAACTAACCAAGMGTTTTACAGAGCTGTGAGATATATCTAAGCAACACTCTGAATGCAAAAAGAACATCCTGAAGTAATGAAAAAATGTTGGACCTTTATTTATAATTGTTGCAATATCTTTCTTTTCATGCTGCATACTTGAAAACTAGGATGAGGACAAGTGAGAGAGAAGAATATCACTCTTCAGAGCTAATGGTGATTTCCAGATTCAGAAACCTGGCTGTACGATGTTAAGAAGCTTTGTCTGAAAGCAAATCATGGGCAGCATATTTGTTCTTTGCATCCYGTTTTATTTAGGTGGCTCTCGCCATTTTGAGGATGCTGCTTAATTGTAAAATCTGATATGCCTCTACAATACTGTTCACCTCAGACCCTCATAGTTGCTTTTGAACTTGGTTATGCTGATTCTCAAATATGCCATTGTTAGTGTCTGCTTAGGGGTCATAAAATGCACATCTGTCACTTGATTTTATTTGCTGTAAGATAGAAGGTGTACTTCATAACTGGGAAAATTACTTTCAAATTATTTATCTGATGCTCATTTATAAATAAGTTAAAGGCATAATCACTGTGACCTCCTGGCTGTTAAAGACACCAGATATCTCTCTTAATGGAGTTCTACTAATGGAAAATGCATTATAAAATAAGTTAATTTTAACCACAGAATTATTTCAATCTTTTTGTTCCAAGACACTGACCAAGAGGTAGTAGAAACAAAAGAGGCAATAAACCACTTGAAAAAACCTAAAAGATAATTCAATTATGAGAAGAAACCAAAGATTTCTCCCTTAAACAGTGAGAAAATCAGATAGTAAATAAATTACAACTAAATAGGTGAGATGGAGGAAGTAGAAACAGCAGCCAACACATCAATGGTTAATAAGCAAACCAGTGATCTCTTTGTAAAGATTTTATGGGATATTTACTGTCATGCACTTTGTGCCAGAAATGTCTTTATGAAATAAACATTTGCATCGCACTACAAAAACATATGAATAAAATGATGACAATATTTATGCGAAATACTAAGGCACAATGTCAACTTATACATACCTTTTGCTCCATTTCATTCTCTGTCCTAATTTGGCTGTTTGAATTTTCATACTTCTCTGTGCGTTTCATGTAAGACCAGGAGCTGTTGAAAAGCTCATAACTGAAATCATTCTGAATTTTAACCTAGAAGGTGAAAGATAGAAGTCTGTGTGAAGAGCGTCATGTAGGATTTAAAAATGATAGAGTACTTATAGAGTAGAGCTTTACTGATGCAAAAGAAGCTGATGTGTTTTTCAGACTGAATCCATTTCTGATTTCGTAAAAAGTACTTCACACTATTGGAAAAGCATGGAAAAACATTCATTCATATAAATATACATATCTCAAGTATTTACACTATGAAGTAAAGTACATTATGGATTGTTTGGCATGCTTTTTATAAATGTGAGACAAACTGAATTACTGACACGGTGACTTAAAAAGAAAAAAACTCTGGAAGATCTATGCAAAGCACACCAAAGCCCTGTATCTCACCCCCAAAAGCATTTCTTACACTGATTCAGGCCACTACTTACGCTACGACAATTAAYGTCGCATTCAGTTTAACTGAGAGATGTAGAAATTACATCTAAGACATTAATCCTTTTTTTTTCCTTTTATTTTAGCAAGATATACATCAATATGTATTTTAAAATAATTAGCAACAGCAGGGAGGGAACAGGTGTCATTGAGCTGTGTTTAGGAAAATGTACATACCTAAGGGCCCTGCAAGTTTTGTATCATTCTCACAGTTTTAATCATGACAGTAAATACAAAGCTGTGACAGGTAAATACAAAGCTGTGCTTAATGGAAACATACCTGAAAATTATAAGCAAGAACACTTTCACTCAGCCTGTAGTATTCTCTTTTATCGCCGCTAAAGACCTTCCTGCATTGCCCACCAAAGCTTTTTGTATTAATAACTCTTCCCTTAGTCTCACCAGTAATAATATCAAAGCTGCCAGAAGAAACAATAGGTCATCAAGACAGAGACAAAAGTTACAAAGCCATTATAACTGAATGCTGTATCTGCACATCATGATCACAGGCAGATTTAACCTGACAGACTTCTATACATGCAGAACTGCAGTATGCATAGCAAGTTACAACATTGAAAGTGAAATGTTGGTCTTGATTTGTCAACAAAAATTAAAACCTTTCATACTCTCGATAGATTGAGACATTCATATCTACCTCAACTGATTTTAAGTTTCATTGTTTGAACAATTACTGCAACACAGAAACAACAGGAGGATTTTATTATATCTGAAGTATATTGCATAACAAGTGATAAAGCAACACTGAAGAAACTTAAGACAATTATTTTACTAGGTTACAGCTGAGATGTATAAACAGAAATCCATATGAATCTAAAGTACGAAATGTAGCAATGAAAAAAAAGAATGAGCCTGGCTAGCTCTTTTTTTCATGCTGAAGATCATGTGTTATTAGCTGAAATTTAATTCAGTATCTTAATAGCTGTCTTTCAAATGCAGGAGAGAAATACTGAAAGCTTTATTCTGTACTTCAGATCAAAGGACCTGTACATCCTGCACTGAACCACTGGCAAGGTGGAAGCACTTGTACTGAACACTTTTGYGTAGGGGGTGTTTTACCATAAGCCCAAGAAGTCTATCTGTATGCCCAGAGCTTGTAAGTACATCAAAATGTAAGTGCATTTGGCACCAGTACTACTGAGCCTGGCACAGGACATTACCCTGCTCCTGTAAGTTCCGAATTTGGAGGTGTTCTGTCAGTATCACATACGGTTTTTTTCACTTCACAGTGATCTTCATCTGCACCATCCTCCTCACAGTCCTGATCACCATTGCACACTAGGGATCTGCTAATGCACTGACCTAAATCAGAACAAACGTGCATGGGGAAAGTGTTTGTTAGTTTAAAAATAGATCACTTMAAATCAAAGCAGAAGTCCTATTTATCTGCTACATTAATTAGCATATTCACTCCCATGATGAACAGCCAGTGCCCATGAGAGCTTGTGAAACAACATTAAATGTAGACATAAAGAAATAGTGCATAGCACACTCAAGAGAGCCACAACCATTCAAGGCTTATGATGTGTCAATGAAACAGTTGACTTCTATTTCCTAAACTTTCACCCTTTGACCCAATCACCTGTGATTAACTGTGATTGTCTCCCTAGTAGCACCAAAACATGTTTATCATAGTCTTCTGTGATAAATGTCTACCTACAAGATAATGTGCTCTTCTGTGARGGTAATGGGAGCTGCTTGGATACATTTTATGGAGCGTTAGTTTCTGTGATCCAGGTAATTTCATGTTTGGATATAGCCTAGAACAGCTTTGAGACATCACTCTAAGGCTGCATTCCTTAACTACCATCTTGTAATGAAAAAGCCCTGTTCTCTGGGGCAAATGAGTAAAGTAGAAYGAGTTAGAGAGGTATCAGGGCTACATACTGTCTTCAGTGCTCTGCAATACTCCAGATGAAATGAAAAACATGCATAGTCGAGGCTGGAAACAAAGGAAACATTCACCTGAGCCAAATACATCTGTAGATCAAGAATTCTGTTAATACATTGCCCATGTACTAAATTGAATGGTAACAAAGTTATTTTCTTAGCTTCATGACTAGAAAATATTAAAAATTATCTTGTAGAGTACCTGAGAAACACCTGAACCGATCACCACAGCCATCTTCTGTGGGACATCCCCTTTTGGGGGTGCATGATCTTGTTTCAAAGGCATCCCCAGAGCAGGGGTTTCCTCCATACTGGCCATAAACTGCCACTGTCCGTCTCCGAATCTGAATGCAAACCAAGGGAGATCTTAGGAAATCCAAATGCAAAGCTGGAATAGTTTGCTACTGTGAAAACAATTCACTATTTGTTTTGAGAACAACCACACCCAGTGTTACCACAATATGGTAGCAAACTCTCAAGTTAATAGAATCACAGCCTTCTTATCTATAAGGTATTTAGACCCATGCATAAGATTGGCTTGTTTTTTTCAAAAATCTAATATATAACCGAAGTCAAGAGAAAAATGCTAAGAAATTTAGGTGTTATTTAATTTTTAATAAGACCAATCATGACTGCTATGAATTTCTTAAAGTTTTTCAAAGCAAACAATATWATTAAGGAACATGATAAAATCTTACATCAAGTGGGCTAGTTTTTGCTTCTAAAAAACTTAAGCACTGTCTCATGGCACATTTTTAATTTTGACTAATCCCTCCTTAATTGATGTAACACCAAAGTAAATGAGAAAGAAAAATCAAAACCAAATGTCTTGCACATCAATAGAGTTGCAGTGTAAAAATCATCAACTTATTTTCATTGAAGCAAAGAGATGAAAAATGAGTGCAACTCATTTTCACTTTGCAGCAAAGGTTTCTTCCCATATGACACGATGCCACTAATGAAAAAACAGTGGAATTGGTACAAACCAGCATCAGTGGAGGAATATCTGTGTTTACCAGAAAGTTCAGCTGAGCTTTTCTAAATTATCACCAAAATAAAAGGAGTACAAATTATTTTGCAACATGAACATCATAGTTTTGAAAGGAAACATATTGGGACAGACAGGAGGATTTATCTTCTGAGCTTTCTGAATTTTGTTCTGCTGGGGCTTTTGTCTGACATCTGATTTAGGGTTTTAAAGACACAGTTCAGGCTTCTTAATTACTGGAGGAAAAATGTACATGCTTACGAGGTTATGAGTACAGAAAAGTTGTGCCCATCTATACCTGTTTTCGAGTACAGCCATTGCATTCGGACCAAGGGCCAAAAGAATTCCAGCGGCAATGGACTGGAGGGGAATGGCTGTTCCCATAGTGGATTTTGCATTAAAAAAAAAAAAAAATAATGAAAGAAAGAAAAGAGAGAGGGAAATCATCAGGGATTTTCATACACAAGCATGAGTTCAAAACTTTCCTAAAAGACAAAGCATACTTTCAATAACAATTGGGGGTACGACCAGGTTTTCTATGAAACCACTTAGATTTGCTCTTCATTTGTAAGAATAAAATCATTCCCAGCTTGGGCTTTCAGGCCATTAAAAAGAAGGAACTAATCACATTCACCTAGCCTAAAGATCAGCAACAAAACAAATTCCCAGTTTCCATGGGAGGCATTGGGGCTGCGACCTATCCCTGGGGATTGGGGTGGTTTGGGATAAGCTGTGCTGTGTTTCACAGACATGGGTTGCTGTGCCTCACACTCTCTCTGTGTGCTCTCTTCCCCAAGGATGGCTGCCTCCTCTGGGCAGAAGCTAAAGGACACCATAATGCCTCATCGCTGTCACCACTGGTGGCAGTGGCAGAGCTGACACCGAACAGTATTCCTCCCAGAAAATAGATCCAACAATCCCTTGAAGCCCACCTCACATCTCGCACCTCAATTATACACACTTAACCTTCAGCATGTAATTTATTAAATACATATTCACCTGGAAAAAATGGGAAAGAAACCTGAAACTTCCAGCAACAGAAAAATCTCCAGCACCTAAAAAAAAGAAGTAAAAGCAAATTTACTTTGCTTTTCTACTTTTCCCTCCCTTTTTTAGCTCATGAAGCTGTTCAAGTTTTCTGCAGCTAATACCCTAGTTGGCTAAGAAATAAAAAAAGAATGTCACACTGATTTTCTCAGATTTGTTGTGCAAGCTCTTGKTTTTAAATTTTCTTCTTTCTTGCAATGCTGTCCAATTACTTTTTCAGCTGTTTCTCCATATAAATTAATATTTCATTGCACTTTCCATATTCACTTCATCAGAAAAAATTAACTAAGCAATTGTCTTACCTTCATGTTAGACTAAATACTCAGATGTACAGCAACTACCAAGGAAAATGCACTTCCAGCATTTTCARTCTGGGAGCCAAAGGAGTCAGTCAGTCTGTCTGTTGCTGTTCATCTCTTCTCACTCTGCCTTGCTATTCTGCTTTTCTTTCCCTAAGAGGGGTGAATATTGCCAAGGAATTTCACCCTTAACCCATGCAGTCCTCTCCAGGGATACAGACTGCTTTGGGAGCTGCTAAGCACTTTTAAGACATATAAATCAAGGCTTGGACATATTAGCTGGGGCTGGCAGAGAATTGTGACAAACATTTACTGGAAGAAGAATCATCTTTTCCTAATCTTCTTCTTCATAGTTTCTTTTTTTTTTTCCTCTGAAACTTTTCAGAGATCCCAGGCCACTTGCACTACACCACAGCWGAATTCACATCTGCAGTAGGAAGAGTTGCTCTAGAATAAAGGTGATGTTGCTAAGGTTTCATTTAAAATACAAATTTTCATTCTCCAGTTCTGAAGTCATGCTGATTTTTGTGTATCAAATTTCTCTCTGAAAATCAGCTTATGAATATGGACACAAGTTTTGGTCAATTTTGGCCTGGTTCTGCATGTTTTTTGTAGAGATACTCACACAGAGGTAAGAGCACGGGTTGCTGTGCCTCACGCCACCTCTGTGTGCTCTCTTCCCAAAGAATGGCTGACTCCTCTGGGCAGAAGCTTACAGAACAAAGAGCATTTAATTTTCTCTTTCCTAACCCTGTCATGTCCTCTTATTTTTATTTTTTTTTTAGTTTTGAATTTTTCCCTTTCCAGGGCTGATCCATTGTAGTAACAGCATGAAAATGCCGTCGCTGGGGAAATTTACTTTACCCTAGCATGCCCCAGATGGAAAAGTAGTACACCTTCTATGTGAAGACTCCTCACATAGTAGACCTCAGACACTATACCAATTTTGAACTGCTTACACAGTCCTCAGAAAACTAAATGCTTCATGTTATAGCATTATGACATGGTAAGTTATAAGCCCTGCTCTCTGTGGGCATGGTCTGCTTTCCTTAAAAAGATGATTAGATCTTGGGTCACACTACTCCACCCATGTGAGGAATGCCTATGCCCAGTCCCCAGAGACAATTCAGATGAGCCAGAGTCTTCTTCAGGACTTTTTAGGTTTAGCAAGTAAGAATCTTTTTGATAATGCAGTTCACTGATTTTCAGCACTTACATACTTATTTTATTGCTTTTCATCAAAATCCTTATGGTCCTATTTAGTTTRTGACCAATTTGTGCAACACTGACAGTGGTCATTTGCCTATGAAGGAAATTATTAAAACTCAGTTAAGACCTTTAATAGCTGACCCAGAACACAAGAACTGCAAAGAATACTTTATCTATMCAGTCATATGTCTTGATCTTTCAGTCAGCTGTTTCAATGGCTTAGACAGTAATTTCACTATCTGTAAGTACATCATTAGTTATAATCACCCTCAAATATATACTGTAATTTGGTCCCAAACAAAACATGCAAATAACTGTAAAAGAAGACATGTAGAGCGAGCRAAGTATGTGTGTTGGCAGGAATCTGGTCTTAATTAATAGGAAGTCAAATAATTAATAGTAATGGACATCATATTCAAATGAGTTTATATTGATTAAATGTCTTCCTCCAAAATGTATTTCAGGCAGACAAAAATGTTGCTCTGGCAGATGCTGTATAAYAGTCCTTTTAGTACATATTTTCAGGTACTTCAACCTAATGATTTTATCTTCTTTTATCTGGAAACAAGATCCCGTTTTTTTATTGATCCTGGCTTCAGACTAACGAAAGCAAAGAAACTGAACCAACATGGCAAAAACCAGAGGGAGGTTAGAGCTGGATTTGTACTGCTTCTAGGACTGCAAGTCCAGYGGTCACATGGCCCTTCATTGGTTTGCAGTGGATGGGTGTTCAGTCTCTCCTCTGTAACTGTGGGACKGGGAATGCCTGATTCTTATTTCATTTCATAGGGTACTTACAGCAGTTTTTTTCTACTTAGCATTAAAGCTCTGAACCATTTAGTTTCCTACTTTTTTGTATGTGTTATTGACCCTTAAGGTAATACACAGTAGCATGAAAATCTACTTACACGTAAGTTTTGTGACTGTGCAACCCCTAGTACAATCTCGGGTTGACTGAGATTCAGTTCTGCAATAACATCAATTATAATAAAAGGCCTGAYTGGGGAGCTCTCCAATGTCTTCCCCTGACAGCATAGTAGCAAAGGGCAGAGTGCAACTTACAGAGAAGTGTAGGYCCTTAATATTTGTGAAAATGGGAATAATCTAATAACCATTTTACTGTTTCATGATAGCTATTTTTGGTTCTTGCTAAACATTTCTACTGCACATTCATAAATAAAACATGTTTAGAATAAAAACTGATTTTTTGGGGGTTAAAAGTGGAGTAGTTTGAGAGACAGAAAGGGTTAGCCATAAGGCAGGGCACTTTTTGTCTTGTATCAAATAACATTCCTAGCACAGGRCTGATTAATGCAATGCTTCATTTGCTGGGCTAATGATATCCTGCCTGGTCTAGAGACAGCCTGAAATGGGATCATCTGTATTCTACTTCACACTAAGGTCAGCCAGAATATAATTATATCAATGATATTTCCCTGTAGACTTCCAGCCTTTTATAGGATTGATGCTAAGGTTACTCAATAGTTTACCAAGCTTTAAATAGTCTTGTGTCTTCATTGTCCAAGTTCATTATGTATTACAGCCCTAAACACAGTCTGTGCTCTGTGACTGCTGCAAATGCCGAGGTTCCAGTGACAACTGAGTGGAGAAAGAACATCGTGTTATTATGGTTTTGAATTGTGAAATTGATTTGGAGAGTTTTTGTATTTGTTTCTGTATGCTAAGTCCATCTCACTTTTTTTTTAAAAAAAAGCTTTTTAATTGCCTGTTTTGCTTCTAATGTATTTGCCGCATTTCAAGGATTAATGACAATGCCTTGGGATGTGTCTCCATGAAATATGTCAAATAGCATTACTGCTGTGCTAACTTTAATGCAAATGGTTCTCTCTCAGGGGACCTTGTAGAAGGATATTGCCTTAGATACTGGAATTTGTATGCTGCAGAAACGACACCAAACAAACAAGGGCTGTGAGGGTTCTGGTTTGAAAGAACTGGGTTAGAACAAAAGAGCTCAAATTATTAGGATTCAAAATTCGGAGAGCTTCAGTGGCAGATCAGCAATGCATTAGACTTATCTAGAGCACAGACATTTCAGGCTGCATGTATACAAAGGTCATCACTGGGCATACAAATAATTACTATTCTTCAGAGTTATGTTCCATCTTAAAACAAAAGATATGGTGAATAAAMCCAGCAGCTTGAATCTACCCAAAGTAGAGTTACTGCTACATTTTTCCCACATCTTTGCCTGCTTTTACTCCCAATCCCCACAATGTGCTTACTTCTTCTGCACATCTGGTGCCGGCTTTGGCACAATTCAGTCCTCCTTGAGCTAGTTTAACTGATCACAATAGCAGAAAACAAACACAGAAAAAAAGAAATCTGAATGGGCTTGAGCTGTTTTTATGAGTTAGGTCATCTTCTGGAAAGGTCCAGTGAGCAACAGGGTAAATACCTATACAGTTACAGACAAGAGAGATGGGACAACCAAGGTAGGAAGTGGKAAAAGGAGAGCAATAGAAGAAACTTCTGTTTCTATGCCAGCCGCTGCATCTTCTCACGTGCCAATGAACCCCYGCCTTGCACAAACTCTTCTGGTTTCTGCTTATCCTAGACTAGGAGATACTGCTCCCAYCTTCAAAGGACTCCCCTGAGCAGGATGGTGGCATCCAAAAGCACCATACTATCTAGTGATCAATCGCCTAGGCAGGTCTAATTGAGCTGTTCATTGAAGGTGAATACTTATTTTTCACTGCTATTAGCATGGATACTCACGTCTCTGAGACATTCTACCTTCAGGCTGACAAAAACCAGCTCAGATTCAGACCATCTGTCTGGGGAGATGACAGCAAACAAAGTACGGCTGGTAAATAKGAGGGATTTTCATGGTCTTCATCACCAATCTTGCTTGGTTGGGAGCAAGCTTAGATCCACTTTGAGTCCTTCTCTACCTGAAAATCTTGCCCACAGAGCTCACAGGGGTCAAGGGRCTTCTGCACAAGCTCTTCTGAGAGCTCAACTGCCAGCTATGGGCAGAAGCAGAGGTACTGCATCTACAACAAAATAGATATTCTGTYACCATGTGTCCAGAAACAGAGAGGCACACATATACATAAAACAGGTGAATTTCATGAACCAGAGGGCTGGGAACAAGATTTTAGGACTTTAATACACTAACACAGGAAGAGTCACATGCAACAGGCTAAAGTGGAAGTATTATTCCATTTGTGATAATAGTGACACAAAGCCACAAACAATGTATAAAGGCATGTATCAGGTTAAACTACAGAGAGGACTGCAGAGCCTGTTCTAAGCTATTAATCCTCAGACCCAAACAAGGCAAATTTTTCACAAGCATCCAATGATTTATTTATTGTATTTTTCTACATTGTTTACTTTTAAGTTTAATTCCTACAGTTCAAGAAATTCATGAGGAGCTTTATATGACTGCCTGAGAGAGCATTATCTCACATTGCTAATGCAGATCTCTTTYGGCCTGAGGTCTTGGTGCTTTTAAAAATACCTCTTTCTGATTTCTCATAGAGTGAATAGAATGCCAAATACCAGSGATTAGCAACCTTGCCTTTTGCTTTTATATTTCTGGTTCTCTCTGAATCGGTGAATATATTCTAGAATTATTATTGTAACTAGTTGAAAAGGTAAAATGCTTCAAGCACCAAACCTTGAACAAAATCTTTCATCAAAGTCCATTAGTCTCCCTCTGAAAATTTCCAAGTATCTTGAAATTAAAACCTTAAAAATGTTTTCCAATGAGCAGAACAAAGTCTCCTTTCCCATAAAGGAGAGTTAGGGAACAAAATGAAGGCAGYACTTCAAAGAAACAGATCTTATTATGATATCTTTTTGAACTACAACATTTTAGGACCATCTGAAATTCATTAAAATTTTGTCAGCTTACTTGAGAAGTCAGTAATTAACCCTAACTGCTACTGTGAAACTTCCTGGAACAAGCTTTTATGGATATCTTCCATTTGGAAACAAAGTTCAACAGAGTAAG